GGGGGGGAGGGGGGGGGGGTACTCATGGTTTGCATGCCTTACGGGGTGGGGGTAGGGTGTGTGATAATATTAATAGCAGTTGTGTGGAAGAGGTCCCGTCGAATTTCGTTGGCACCGAGGAGGGGTCAAGTGGGAAGGGCTTTTGTTTTTTGTGAAGAGAGGATGCAGTGGCGCTATCTTGTTTTGCTTCGTCGAAGTGTCATTCGGAGGAGAAGGGGTGCTGGCGCGTCTCCACCGGGCTACACGTGTCCCTCTGAGAGCCGCTTTGTCTTGTAGAACACGTGCCTACAACACCGGGCACGCCTTGTACCTACCCATGTCCACCGCCACCGCGGCCATCGTCGGCCCATGGTGTGTGCTTTCGTGTTGGCCTGCGTTGAGCCGTTTCCTGTTGAACGGATGGCATCATACCAACATGGTCCCACTTTCCTTTTCTACCAATTCTTACCTGTTTCCCGCGGACATGATCCGTCGTTTGTCCGTGCTCGCCAGCGCAGGATCTATGCTTGGTTGTTTGTGAATGCATCCCCACCGCAATTTAAAATTTTGCTGCTACGGTACCTCGGTGGTTTCTATGCGCTTCCCAGGTTTGGAGGACCTGAAGCGGAGCCGCCGTCCTCCCAAGACCTCCAAAACCCCTTGGCGGCAACCGTGGACCCGGACGTGGCTGGATGTGAGAGGGGGGGGGGGGGGNNNNGGGGGGGGGGGGGGGGGGGGGGGGGGGGGGGGGGGGGGGGGGGGGGGGGGGGGGGGGGGGGGGGGGGGTGTCGGTCCTGCGTTGTTTCTTGCCCCCTTTGGCGTTTAACTATGCGGCACGAGGGATGGGGCACCATGTTGATAGAGATTCTTCCACTTGTAGTGTTTCGACGGAAAAGGGAACCAGGCCTGCCCCGCCGTCACTGGGATCCCTCCTCTGCCCCCTGTCCCCGTCCCCATGTCAGATGTGAGGCACATGGTCGAAGCACGTCGACATGAATGGTCATAAGGATCCCCCGCCCCCTCCCTCCCCCGGTCGGCGATTCCGTCCCGGCTTTGTAGGCATGCGAGGTCAATGGTCTAACGACTACGGCATGCACGGTTATCAGTACCCTCCGCCCCTTACCCCCCCCCGTAATCCCCCCACCCACCAAGCGTTGAAATGAGCCAAGCAAATACACGCTATTGTAACACCTTGCGGTGGTATGCGCTATTTTGTTTCTGCCCGTGGTATCCAACACTACACACAGTGATGACCGACGAAAAGAGGTACGCACGGTCGCAGAAGTTCAACATCTCGGACCAGATGTGGAGCATCCAGGCCGAGGAGCAGGGCCTGCAGCCCGGCGATATCTTCTGCGGGGACCCCGACAGGGCTGACCCGGAGCCGATGGTGAGAAAAATAAAATACCGTAGGTTTTACGTTCGTTTTTACGTTTTTACGACGGAAATTTGTGTTGTTGTTGGGGGGAGGGGGGGCGGGGCTTGGTCACTTGTGACGGGCTCTCCGATGGGGCTGAGCCACCGGAGCCATGTTTGACTTGCGCGGGAGTGCACGGTGTTCTTATGTAAGAGGTCACGGATTGTGAAGACGTGCATGTTCTCTCACTATTTTTATTCTTTTCCTTGCTGGAAGAAAGTACGAAAGAGCGGGTTGGGGGGGGTGGGTGGATGGGGCGCACCATGGGCGACCGAAAAAGCAGGTCTCGTCATAGTTGGTGGTTGAGGCCATTGCGCCCACTCTTTCCACGCCGGAATTGGACACGTCTTTTTACATTGCAAGTCTGTCAACCGCAGTCTAGCTTTTGTGGCGTGCGTTTCCACGAGGTGTAACCCCGCAATCTGTTTTGATTGGTGGGTGGCGAGCGGGGAGGTTTGGATGACCGTATGCGTACGAATGCCGACCTCTCGCTGCGTGCGGGAGAAGGGGGGCGGGTTGAGGAAACGTAAGCCAGAGTGTCCCGACAGCACCGCCGTGTGCACGTAATTATTTCGCCGCGTGAAGGAAAACGTCTATCCTGCCCGTTCTGCTCTCACGCAAAAGTGTAGTGCACCCCCAGTTTTGGTTCCCTGAACGGGAACGAACGAACGGGTTGTGGCAAGGAATTTATTTCCATCCCTGTTCGCTCATCCCGCACCCCTTCCCGTTCTGCTGCTGCGGTCCCTCCCAAAAGGCGCGCTTTTTTGGTGTCGGTGATTGTTGACACGTGATTTTTCGCTCGCTGCGCTGGCGTCTATACTTGATTCCGCCGCTGTTTTTGTTCGTTCTGTGCTGCGCAGGCGACGACTTTCCCCCACAAGATCCATGTCTTCAGCCTGGACAAGACCGTGTGCAAGCAGATTCGGGACAACGACGTCAAGGTGCGTTCAACGTGTTGTGTGGATGTGTTGTTCTTGTTGTGTGGCGTACTGTAGGGGGTTAGACGGCCACGACAACCGCGTCCGTCGTCGATATTTAGGGCCGCCGATAGTTTTGCGGTTGTTGCCTCTGCGTCGTCCGATATCACGCTGGCCTGCTTCTTCTCAACAACGACAACAACACGACGATGACGACGACGACAACAACGACAACGACAGGCGTACTTCGATGGCTTCGGCCCCAAGTACGTGGAGTGGCTTTCGGACTGGTCGTTCAACGTGGTTTTCGACGATGCGGAGGGGGCCAAGAAGGCGGCAGCTGCCAAGTCGTTCGGCCTGCCGGACACCCTTCCCAAGGAGATCGAGGTGCGGTGCGCCCCCTCATTTTTCATATGCGGTGCCCCCTTTCTTTTTTTTTTTCTTGATATTTTTGTCCTTTCTGCTGCAAATTATGAAGATTTTTCTTGTTGGTGCGGCCGCTGTCTAATTGAGGCGTACGATTGTGAACACGGAGTTGCTCTCGTTGCTCTTGGAGAGCTCGGATGGGTAGGTACCATTTATGTTGAGTTAGAGTGTTTCTCTTCGTCAAGACGGAACTAGCAGCATGAACAAAACCAACAAACCAACAACAACAACAACAACAACGACAGAAGACCCAGCAACAGCCTTCATATTTGTTTTCCTCCCCGCCTCAATTTTTCAATTTTTCGCTTCCCGTCCTGGCGAATGACACATTCTGTTTTTCCCACTATTTCTTGTTTAATTTCAGGAATCGATCGGCGAGGAGGGGGAAGCGGTGGTGGACTTGGGGGGCATGGGGTGGAGGCTGGGCCTACCGATGTGCAAGGTTAAGAGCGACCGCCATGGGTCCAAGGGGCAATGGGTGAGAGCCGGGGCAGGGGGAGGCTTTGTCTGGCTACTTGGTTTTGGATTCTTGGACTGGGAGCACGTGCTTGCTGCCCGTTGTGTACAATATTTGGATGCAATTGGATATTCTGCAATTTCACCCACGTATATCTTCATGATGCAATAGTTTACCGGTATTGTAATGGGTACGAAGTGCGCGCTTTTGACAAATTTGTTCCGGCGTGCGAGACTATCTCCTCTTCCGACGATCAGCCAATCAGCACGTGCGAGCTCTACAGACGACATTACTTGTACACACACTACCTCCTTTTATCCTCCCTCAAGAACCTTGAGAAGGCGTTCGTACCCATATTTCCCCAGATGCCCTCCTCTCTTTTTCGCGGAACCCCGTTTTTATTTTGTTTGAAGGTGCGGCTGCTCCTGAGGTGCGCAGAGGCGCAGGATATCCTGCTGACGAGGCCGCAGGTGCCGGCCACTCCCGAGGGACCGCTCGTGCGACGCGCGGAGGAGGGCAGGTTACCCCCGGCCGTGCTCGCGGCACAAGGGTTGGCACGGTGATACGCGGGGTCTATCGGCAAACATTTTCGTACATGTTGAACGGGATGTAGCAGGTTTCGCTATGCACAGTGCTAGATTGACACAGTACCAAACCAAAGGGGCGGCGCTTCGTGGGAATTAAATCCGGAGGCCGTATGCTGTACGGAGTAGTATTATATCTGTTTTGTTCTGTTTTTCGAGGCGTGCTCTTGGCAAGAACATGGGGGTGCGGGTGCGTGTGCACGTACGCGAGGCTCTTCATTTGTCTTTGAGGAAGCCAGGGTCTTTTCTCGCCGTGCACCTTCTTGTCGTGAAATATCTACCCACATTGTAATGCAGGGTGGTTTGCTAAAATAATCACCGGTTCGGTTAACAACCCTCCCCCACCCCCACCCCTCACGCCGTCAGTATGCGATGGATGCGCCTTTTGTTTTCGTCTTGTGCGAAACTTCCTATAGTGCAGTTACTTACTACATTGTCTAACCCCTCCGGCCAGTCTCCCTGCCTGCTACGGTGACGACCCACCCAAACCTGATCCGCCATGTCTTCAAATACGGGTGCGAGGGTCTGACGGCGCTATGCTGCATATCAACGCATGACCAAATTGATCGCAGACCACGCCCTCCACCCATCCGTTTATTTACTTTTTTTGGTACTTCGGGCAGGACGTTTGACTCCATGACACACAGGGATGAAGGAAGACGGCGGGACACCGGAGGCCGCCGCAAGAGAGGACGAGGGAGCAGGGGTAGCGACGGGAACGGGGGCTACGGCGGGGACGGAGGCTACGGCGGGGCCGCCGGGCCTGAGGTGCAGCATGTTCCTACACTTTTGTCGGGGTTCATTTCCCCCTTCTTGGTTTCGGCCCGCCCTTGTAGCAACAGTCTAGCTCTCGAGTACTTCCAACCTGGTTGCGTAGCTCGCTGTGCCACCCTTTTTGTCAAACCCAGGTCTTGGTGAAGGAACGACCAACACCTTCGAGAGACGGGTCCTGAGATTTTACCTGATTGGACGCTATTTCGATATTTCTTGTTCTATATGTCGCCCTCCTCATGACCAACTGTCCGTCCATCGTTGGTGCGGGTACAATGTTCCGTCGCTTATTCTTTTTCTGTGTGTTTTTTGTCCTGTGTTCACGTTCCCCTGTTTCTGCCCTTGCCTTGCATTGTTTGTTACAATATTTCGTTTTCCTTTTGTTGTTTGTTGTGTGTGTTTTTTCTCCAGCAATCACTTCTGTCTCCCCTAACTTATGTCCTGCCCTTGCCATTCACCCGCCCTATGCATGCATGCATGCACTCAGGAGATGATGGGACAAGCTCTCAAAGCGCCACGCACTTCTTCGGGCCGCAGGAGACGGGGGAGACGCTCCGTCGAACGGCCCCGGGGCAGCGGGGACGCAGAAACGGGAGAGGGCGATGCAGCAGCAGCTCCCGCTGCCGCCACCGCCGCCACCGTTGACGACGTTGCTCTGCCCCGCTCTCCCGCCGTCAAGTCCACCATCACGGCGGTTAACGAGGGGGAGGACAGGGTTCAAAACCCCGTGTGATGGGGAGATTTTTGTTCCCAGGGTCCTTTGCCCGGTCACCAGCTGCGTGGTCTCTCTCCAGAGCGTGCAGCGCACGCGGGTTGGTGATGACGTGCGTCTTGTCCCCAACGTCGTCAAGTCTACGATATCAAACTACGAGGGAGATTTAGTGTGTAGCATGTTTTTTGTTTGTGCATGCCTTCTTGTGCCGTGCACATGTTGTTGTGCAATACATCCGGGGTAAGGAGGAGTTGGTTCGGGGCTGTTGAGGGCAGGTTGAGAGCTGGTGGTTCAATAGCTGTACTACCTGGAGAGAATGGCGATGAGATTATGTCGTAGGAGTGCTTCTTTCGTCGCAAAGGGGTGGTGGTGGGTTGCCGCTGCGCACTTGACCAGTCCTTAAGACACTCTGCTCGCTGATTTGAAGAAAAGAAGGGGTGCAAATACAAGTGGAGAAGAGATTCGACCCGCACGAAGGACTCGACAAAAGAAAACGGAGGGCAAACTTGGTGCGGAAACCCCACCACATATGTGAGGCGAGAACCGTTTACCTTGACGCTCTCCCACCCATATGAGGCTGCTTTCCTCCCACTGCTGTGGGTTCGCGATGTGGAGCGCGTTCCGAAAGACTCTCACATCAAAAGAGGCGGAAACGGTGCGGCAATATATATTGTCTTTCGTCTTCGCCTGCGTGACCAACAATCGCACAACACGATGGAACGGAGTCAAAGAAGACGCGTGACACTGGCTTGTCATGCGTGGACACACGTGACAGGCCAGTATCACGCGTCTTCTTTAACTTCACACGTGACAAGCCAGTGTCACGCGTCTTCTTTGACTCCGTTCCATCGTGTTGTGCGATTGTTGGTCACGCAGACGTAGACGAAAGACAAACNACTCTCACATCAAAAGAGGCGGAAACGGTGCGGCAATATATATTGTCTTTCGTCTTCGCCTGCGTGACCAACAATCGCACAACACGATGGAACGGAGTCAAAGAAGACGCGTGACACTGGCTTGTCATGCGTGGACACACGTGACAGGCCAGTATCACGCGTCTTCTTTAACTTCACACGTGACAAGCCAGTGTCACGCGTCTTCTTTGACTCCGTTCCATCGTGTTGTGCGATTGTTGGTCACGCAGACGTAGACGAAAGACAAACATATTGTCTTTTCGTTGAGGGACTCTTGTCATGGGCGCGTTGTCTTCGTGATGCCAATCTGAAACTTTGCTGGTATGATGTCTTTCTTGCTCCGCAACATGACGGTGTTCGTCAGTCTCGAATTGTGTGTTGTGCTCCGTTTTCCCCCCCTTCCTTTTTCTGCCTTCTCTACTCCACCCACCATGCAATTGTTCCCTCGTAATCGATGAACGTGCTACTGCTGCAGGATGTGCGCGAGATCGTCGGGTGCTCGTAATGACTCATCGCGACCTCAACAGCACAATCTCGTCCCTACGCAATTGCTCTACAGACCCCTGCCATTCCTTCCGCTCGGTCGACGCCCCCAACTCGGACTCCGAATATGATGAAGGCCTCCTCCGCAAAATCTAACTTCCAAAAAGGGCGCCTGGCTCATCTATTTGGCATCAGTCACAATGGGCGTGAGCCATCCTTCTCTCTACCAACCGCTTCGCGATGGCACGAAACTCATCATACCCTACGCCCACACCACCCTCGACGTCTGCCGCTTCCTTTTCCGAGCAGTCAATCCCGCACTCCGACAGTGCAGCCTCGGCAACTGCCTCATCGGTCAGGAGCGCAAACCCCTCCCCCCCTCCGTCATGGTCACAATCCGGCCCGTACACCGGTTTCAGCGCCTTTGAAATCATCGACACCAGGATTTTCGGAGACCCAAGATCGCTGAAGCCACCCCTCTCACCACTATCATCTCTTTCACCAGAGTCATGGTCGCCGTCTTCATAGTCATCTTCCTCATCCCTATCCGACCCTGTTCCCCTCCCCCCTCTCCGCCCGCGCCGACTCAGTGTCATCAGCCCTTTTCCTGACCCTTTCGGGCCCGTGGCGAAGCGAGCAAACGCCACGCGCTCGACGGCGTCGCTCCCGAAGCGCTCTCTCAAAGCTCTCAGGGCCTCTTCGCGCTGGGAGCGCAGGGACTCGGTCCGGGTGGTTTCCACGCTGCAGGAGTTCCGGAGGGAGAGGGAGGGGCGGGTTTTAGCTGAAGAAATATTTTTCGTTTGCAAGTGTGGATTCTGACAGAGACGTACTGTACCGTGCATTCCGTCGCCACAAATATATGAGGACCCTCCTCGTAGATATGAACCCCGCAAAGACCTTCTCATAGATATGAACCCCGCAAAGACGAGGGTCGTAGCAAACAGCAAGCCAATCGATTCCGCCTAACCGCCGAATGCGCGACGATTCAAGATGTGATGCAGAGGAGCCACACACGCGCTCGCCTGGACATGTGTATTTTTCCCACAGCCACAGCTAAAGCAAACGAACGCGTTTGAGAGTGCGTGCTACGTCAAGCATTGTGTAAGTTGTCCATGTAAACCTACGACCTTGTGCGTGTGTCTTCGTCGCAGAGACTGTTCTGGTGGAGTCCTCGTCGTCTCATACTTGGTCTCTACAACGCTTGGTTTCTTACTGGGCAACATTTGTTTGAAGTGGTGCACATCAATGTTTGTACGCATGAAAGGGCGGCGCAGACTGTTGTAAGAAGGTACGCGGTGATGGAAGCGGGCGGTGCATGTGCAGCAGCAGTATTTTTTCTTACATGTGGGGCCTTGTTTGGTATGCGACCAGGACAATATCACCAGAAATGGTGTAGCGTAGGTCTACGGCATGAAAATTCTCTCTCACCGAAGGCGGCGCTTCCATCGGTCGCGATCATCTTCGACGTCGTCAATCTCATCCAAGAGGGAGCTTAGCTCTTCGCCCAGGTACGATTGTTGCCTCTTCGCTGAGGCTAGTAGGTCTGCCTCCTGTGAGGCAACAGGCATGATAATAGGGGGTGCAGAAAGGCTGCGTGTCGCCCCTGTAAAAAATCTAGAGAATCGAATACGCCACTCAGCTGACCAGCTCAAAACACACCAAAGTCTCACCCACATGTGTCGACTACGCTACATAAATTGCGCATTCAGAGCATAGCAAAACGGCAAACGATTGTTCTTCGTTTATTTTTCAATGTTCGATAAACATTAGCTGTCTCTTGCCTACAAAGGCAACCGACCTTACCGCTGCTTTTCGTGAGCTCGATGCAACAAGTACTTGGTGGTTAGCGCGGAAGGATAGAGGTATACGTTGTCAGCAGCTTTGAGTGGGTACCAGGGGGGTGCACTTAAGGACTGGTATAATAATTTTAACCTCTTCGTGCTCCCATAAATATTTGCCCAGAACCCCGAACTACAGTGAGAAGTACCTTCGATGTTTTGCGCTCTTTCGCTAGCTCAAGGTCAAATTTTTCGCGCTCGAGGGTTTCCACCTCGTCCTGTAGGCTCTGAAGGCTCTGGGTAAATCGCTTCGGCATGGCCTTCAACCTCTCGGCCACCTTGTTCACTTCTGCTCTGGTTGAGCGGAAGGTGGCTTCCTGCAGCTTGGCATTCCTTTCGGCCTCTGCTTGTCCTTTTCGCAGCTGACTGTTCAACAGTTCCAGCTCCATGACTCGATCCTGTGCTGCAAACTGTTGACGTTGTGGTTTATGACGTTGTGAAGGTAATGCGTAGTCAATGTAATTGTTGCTGTTATGTGCCGGAGTATCGTGAAACAATTCAGATGCGCAGCCAGTCCAAAACACGGCGGAAGGAAGGCACAAACACCGAGTATGGGAGGGGGTTCTGTTTCAGGATGTCGACTTGAATCAGGGAGTGTGTACTTGGAAAGTAGTGCTGCCCCCTGTATTACGAACACACCAGTAGCAACCCTAACAACAACAACAGTTCACAGAAAAAATCGTGGCTTACATTCGTTTCTTCGTGGCGTTGTTGACTCCTTGCTTCGCGTCTACCGCCGTAGTCCCCGTTGCTTTCGCTTTCTCGATGCTTTTTGCCCACGGAGACATCCGCAGCCCTTGCCGGAAACACCGACATTACTTCATCCAGCATCTTAGCCTGGGAGAGCCCAACCATTTTTTCGCGCATTCTCGATAGCGTCGCTTGCGCCTTGGCTAGCCTAAACCCCAACCGTGCCTCCTTCTCGGAAAGATCGATGCCCTCGGCCCGGAGACCCTGGAGCTGTTCCTGCAGAGCCTCCTTGTCGTAGAAGGGCGCTTGGGTGTTTTGATGGCGGAGGTGACGGTTGTGATCTCGACCCACCTTCCCTCCTTCTTTCAGTGATGCTCCAGGCCGAGTTCCTGGATCATCCCAAGCGTACACCGGCTTCCCCGCATTGACTCGGGCGACCAAGCCTGAGCCATGAGCGTTTGTTCCACCGTTTGTTCCGAGCTGGTGAGGCATATATTTCCCTTTGATCGTTGTGGCTGTAATCCAAAATAAGCTGTGCGTGCCACCTAGAGACTCTCGCGATGTACTTGTGCACAATGTATATCGACACGCTATACACGTTTCTTCAATCTACTATAGAAAAGATCGGCGAGATCGCGTGTCGTTGCAACCTGAATGCGGCACAAATAATAAGTTCCACCGAAAGGGTACACCACACCTGGTTCAAACCTTTTTTTTCCCGCAAACCTGCAACCTGCCAACCTCAACCTGCCTGCCCGTTGTTGCCCGTCATGTGTCGAGCGCGTCACACCCCGAGCTACCTGCCTCTCTACCAGCGTGTTCACTGCAGTCTTGGACAAATAACTTCTTCTGCAGCGTCAGCCAGAGCACAACAAGGGCAATGGCCCATCAACCCGGAGGCACGACAACAGATGGTGAGCGTACGTCATCATCACCGCCCTCTGCCGGGTGGATAAGGAACACAGATCTCTACCGCGCAACCGGCGGACGCGAACTGAGCCAGGCGGATCGTCACAAGGTTCTGCGCGAGCTCTCTCAGGTCAGGCGGCGGCTGTCACGGGATAGGCAAAGGGACAGGAAAGCGCAGGGCGTCAGCAGGATTTCCCCCGCCTTTATCCCGCTTGTGATTAGCCGCTACTGCAACCCGACCGCTTTTTGATCCGACCGCCGGTCGGATGCAACGATGTCACCAGCAAAAATGGGTGTGGTACGCACCACGCCGGCTTGTTGTTCGAAGTTTCAAGAAAAGGTCTGTATACAACATACAACAGTAGTGACACAGAGGTGATACGTGCTTTGAGTACTGGAGCAGCATACACCCTGCGTCGTGCTGTTGGGCACTAGACTACTGCTGTAGTGGTATTTCGTATCTACATTGGGTGCGTAAAATTATTCCGACGATCGACGCTTTCCGTTCAAAGTCCACGCTGCCCAGTCCGGTGTCGTTTGTTGACTGCTTTGCTTTCTCTGTCTGTTCTCCTCCCTCAGGAATTGAGCACCGACGTACGAGATCAACAACCCATGACAGCTCTCCAGGTAAACAAGTGAAAAATGTTATCCATCCACCAAAGTCACGTTCAAAATCCCTTTCCTGCTGCGACCAATACCTACCGTAATAGTCGGAGAGATGGCACCGGTCGGAGAGATCGGACCGGTCGGGGAGATGGCACCGGGGTGCGAAACAAATACAATGGCATGATTTAATTAACTTCTCACACTGGGGTCGGTGAGATCGCTCCGGGTGCGATCTCTCCGGCCCCCAATTCCAACATTGAGCTCCTGTTGAGCTGCCGGAATGAGGTATCTTTTTCATGTGATGGGAACGATGTCAACTGAGCGCCACTCCTGGATGTACGGATGCATGGTCGAGGTTCACGCGGGATGCCAGTTGTTTGCATTTCTTAATTGGTGTGAAAGTTGCCGTGTGGAAGTTGCCAACCGTACACTCAACGAAACACACAACGTACAAGCCGCACCCTACTCCACCTTACACAACACGAAACTATTGTACTGCTGCGTACGTACCGGTCCCTGGAGGAAGACCGGAACGAAAGCGGGAGACAACTGATGATACCCTGTGTACCGATACCTCAGATGGAAAGGACATGATTTCTTGTCCTCATCACGCCATTGCCAAACTCGCTGCGTGGAAAGCTGTTACATACCAGCAGCACCGGTACCTACACGTGTGGTTCCATCTCAATACCATGGTAACGGTCGGGGAGATGGCATCGGGGTGCGTGCATAGGTGTGTATTTCGTCGGGGATCGCACCGGTCGGAGAGATCGCTTAGGGTGCCTTGAAAAAACTAAACGAGATGATTGAATTGTAATTCCCGCACCCGGGTAGGAGAGATGGCACCGGGGTGCCACGAGGAAAAAACATTATATTTAACGATCGCACCCGGTGCCATCTCACCAACTGTTACGGTAGATCGGGTCGTGCGATGCTGCATGGATGGGAGTTGGTTTGATGTTTGATATGTAGGCTTGTATGTCAGAACTACATGTAGGCTGTGCACAATCTTCATGTCTCACGTTTGAAAATAATTATGTCATCTCTAGTACCTCGTTGTCTGCTATGCTAAGCAATAAAGAACAACGGATCCCTCGTAGTGACAAAGAAGCTAATTCATGTGGAGGACACCTGTCGGGAGTATAACCAACCATGAGTACACACACAATGTGTAGGAAGATATAGCTCCATCGGGGTATCACAACAAAATGAATAGGGCAGTCCTTCGTGTTTTTCGCGTGCATCATAACGTCATTTAGCTTTGGACGTTAATGCTCCTTTCGTCTCCATAACGATGTACGACTACGAAAACGACCCCCCAACCCCCGTGTCTCTGTAGCAGATCTAAGCACGAACACTTTTTCTCCCGTCCTTACACCTGATCATCATCCTGCCCTCTCCCCCTCACACAATTGCCGCCTCATGGCCCGCTCGCTGCATCTATCCACTCGTCGTGTCACCGCTCGCTTCGTGTAGCATACTCTCTTCCCCCTCGTCTGATTGTTATGCTTCGAAATTCACACCCCGCCGCAGGAGGCTTTCTCCATTCTCCTATTCTTCTTGTTCCCCGGGTGCATGGTTTGGGTTCCCTTCGCTCTCGCGGGGGTGGCGTGGGCGGCGCACCGGTACCTTCCGGCCGGGGGGGCGCTGCAGATCTTGCTGGGCTTGGGGGCGGTGGCGCTCTTCTTCTGGCCGCTTCGCCACTGGCCGGCGTTCACGAGGACGTGGTACGAGGACATGGGCATGGCGAGAGCGGGGGGAGGGGGGGAAAGGCAAAGTCACACACAAACAGAAAGAAGGACGGAGCACAGGGGGAAGGCAGGGGGCGTACTCTTATGTTTTGCATGTCTTAGCGGTTAGACCATTGACCACGCGTCCTCGAGAGGACGGAGCATTGTTCCCACAGGACCGATCACCGATGGCCAATCGTTCCTTTCTACTTTGCCAAAGGTGGCTCAAAAATGTCTTCCCTAGTCTGTCTATCCTAACGATATCCCTTCCCGCCTTTTCAACCCACCTCCTTTGTCCCAGTACAGCTATGGTCCTTTCCTCTCTATTCCATGCCTCAAACATCTCCCTGTAC